CTCTCTCTCTCTCTCTCTCTCTCTCTCTCTCTCTCTCTCTCTCTCTCTCTCTCTTTCTCTCTCGTCTCTCCTCCTCTTTTCATCAGGACTTCTCCGACCAACAGAACCATCCTATCGCGTGTCACTCGCACGTATCCAATCCCGACCGCACTCCTCCCTTTCTGCGATTCTATGCAACGAGATTTTTCGCGAGCCTCCTCTGACTCTTGAAAATTTATCCTAGTCTTGTTGAAGACAGGTGTATTCTACTTTACTCTCAAATATAAGTTCGTTTTAATAAGAGGAAATCTCAAGAATAACCATCGCTGTATGTTTATGTAAATCGTTGTATATTTAAAAGGCAAAAACGTTTGCGATGCATAAATTTGACTAGTAAATTTTTCATATTTAAATCCTCGCTTATAATTCTTTATTTAATGTGTCACTCAATCCGTTACAAGACTCACCAGACACGCACGTCAAAATTTTCTTTATTTATCCGCTAACACTTCAAGAATCCTCCTCTTGTACAGTTTCCTTCGTGCCTAAAGCGTTTACAATGAAAACGAGACGGAAGTCACGCTAAGAATTCGTCACAGCTTGCGAGGGGAAAAAAAAGGAATAAAAGTACAACTATAGCGAAGCTGTGGGGAATAAGAAAACCGAGAAGGAATCCTAAGACGTGCAGTTTATCACGTTACCAATTTAACAAAGCATTCTCGTTTAACGGAGATAACGTTTTCCACGTAGAAAAGAAATCGGAGAATTTGTGCGACAACTTGGCTTCTAACAAGGATGACTTTTCTGTGCCAAAGAATTAAGCAAGTTTCTATTTTAGTCTTTATTTTCCTAAGAATATAAAGAATATTGTCAATGAAGCACAGTAGCAAGAAAATCTCGAACTTTAAATTGTAGATTAGCAAATGTAGTTATTAAAATTAAAGTCAAAGCTCTCTGGAGACATTGTATATTATTTAAGCTGTTTTATTAATTTTAAAATATCAAAAAAATATATTTTATCATATAAATTATAGATTACACTTGCTCATCTTAGATGTTATTGCCACCTTTTAAGCATATTGATTAGTAGATGCAACGCTAAAAAATCCGACATTTCGATTTATTCTGTAAGTCACTGCTCCTCGCATTGACATTCTCCTCGAGGTTGCAGCCCCAGAAAGAATTCGTGCTGAAGTTCAATCTGATTCGCGCAATAAGTGTCACTGACTTAACGTGCACGTACTGTAAACCAGTCCGTTCGTTTCGCTGCTAACGTGAGATTTAATTCGGGAAGCTACCTAACAGATACGCAACTAATCCTCCGTCGGTCCAACTTTAATCCTAAGATTAAAGCCATCAAAATAAACAAGAAAAGATACTGATACTGAATCATCCAAAATTTATCACAGCCGTAATGGCGGAAAAAGAAATTTATTAGGATTTCCATGATTACGTCATCATCGAGCTGATTCTGTAAATTTCTTTCAGCTTGCTTTAATCCAGATTGGTGTTAGTTTATCGTAAGAATGCTCGAGAAGCGCGCCATTCAATGCAAAGTCTAAAATCCTTTCAAGTAGTTGAATCCGCGATGTCTCGATGCCATTATCGGATGAGAGCGGGAATCCGCGAGTATCGACACTACACAACGTCGAATGACGGGATTCTTTCAGAGTGTCGTGCTGGAGATGAATCGACTTGGGATGATGGTGGACCTCTCTCATGTCTCGGTACCCACTATGCTGGCTGCCATGACGACGTCGAGGGCGCCGGTGATTTTCAGTCACAGCAGCGCTCATGCCCTTTGCAATTCCTCGCGAAATGTGCCTGACCACGCGCTGCGACTTTTGGTAAGTTTTTTTCTCGACAACGAAATAGCCGGAAATAATAAACGCGTGTAAGTAACGCCACAGTGACGCTTTAATGGCGTCGCATTAAAGTGTAAAGTGAATTCGCTACTCTATATTTTATAATCCTATCTTCTTTTATTAAATTACGTAATATTTTTTCTTGCATATATCATAAAGGATTATCCTGCCTAAAAGATACATAAAACATTTTTTTTTATTTTATCTAATTCAATGACTGAAAAGAAATGTGAATATTTTGTTCGCAGGCGCAGACCGGTGGTATTGTTATGGTATCTTTCTATCCCCATTTTATCAGCTGTGGCGAAAAATCTACACTCGAGGATGTAGCAGGTGAGCGATCCTTGCGATAAGAATCGTTTCGTTTTAATTATCAATAGTTTCGTAATCGCGGAATTTTAAAAGATTAAAATCCATAAAAACAGATATTATCATTTCGTTTGCATTTCGCGATGTTAATAAAATTTTACAAAATCCAATCAAACTGTATTGTACGTGCTCAAAGCTCGGTATTCGTTTATCGGAATGCGCCATTATCTCAGGATTTTTGAAATAACGCAACATACGCAACGCGATCCAATATCTAATAGCATTAATATTTCTACATTTCTTTCTTGAAGATAAAACAAACATTATTATCTAAAATGGAAAATTTTCTCAGTAAATCTCGTTTTCCCTAGCGTGATCAACGTTACTTCGATCGTTTTGTAAATACGTCAACCGTCATCGGTTTTCATATCTCAAGATAATAGCTATTGAGAAGAATAGCTTTTTTTCTCACGACTGATATATAGCTTGCACGACTATGAGCTTTCAACATCGTCGTCGATGCTACAACATCCGAGGCATTTCTCCGCCGAGACGACCAGATGAGTTTCCGCGTTAGGTGCCAATTCCCGCGGGTTACCATCTTATTTGCATTATTATAGAGCGGCTTGAAGTTTCGAACACATTAACATTTGAGATCGTACCGCTAATGTAAACGGCTGTGTATGTATATTTAACACAATTAGATATACGAATCGTGGGAACGGAATTTTAATCAAATTCCGAGAAGCTCCGGCAAACTCCGAAATTAAATTAAAACAAAATACCTATAATATTTCTCGTCCAAAATGCGAATCGATTTTAATTTAAAAAAACCGTACGAAGTTTGTGAGAAAAAAATAATAAAACTAGAATGAAGTGGAATATAACTTTTCTCCGTAGCATTTGAAGTGTGCTATGTTTGATAAAGTTAGTTTTATGCTCTTCTGCAGCGAGTGAGATCGATTGCGAAAGCCGAAGTCGTCGTATGTACAGGAAGCCGTAATCCAAAGTTCACACTTCGCGCGGCCAAACCGTAGCTTCGAATGCATCCCTGCGAGAACCCGGCGTTCCGCAGGCGAACGGTAACAAAAAAGTGAAATGCCCGTGACGTTTCCCGCGGGAACAGCCAATTCCGTTCATAGTGTAGCCAAGCGCTCGGTTTTTGCAGACGCGAACGTGAGTTCTGATCTACGAAGAGCGTTTATTTCCTTCCTTCGTTAAAAAAAAGACAGCGGAATCCCATAATGCTTAATCCACGAAAATAATAAACGCGAGATAATAAATTCTTTAATTTCGTCCATTTTTTATCCCCTAATCTCCAGGATCTCGCGTGCAAACTGCACCCACCTTAAAACCCCGGAAAATTTGTAGTTTTGCTAGAATCGCGCGATAATCTATGTCGCCGTTTCCCTTTCCGGTATATTTTTTTCTTCTTACGCAGAAAGAATAAGCAAACGCGACGTACAATAATATCATTCCGACAATGAGGTGCGGAATACAGTTCGTCTGAATCGCAACTATTGCAAATGTCACGCATAATGAATCGCGCGGGATTGAAAGGTTGTTCAAATTGCGCCATGCGCATCTCGTACACCGTTCCGCCAAGCGCAACAAAAGAAAGAACGGGAGATAATTGCTGACCGGTAGTGGATGGCCGCGCATCGGACATAGCCGACCATAGCCGGGTGCTTGAATAATCGCTTCCTTCCGCAGGCAGCATCTCTAATTGCTCTACATCGCCGGTTACAGAATCACGGAGAAAATTATGTCCGCCGTGGGAGAGCAGGGAAGAAAATTATGTGCTCGAACGGGAAGTACGTTGTACGTCGTGTGTGTGCGCTGATAATTTCAAAATTGTAACGCGTTTCTCCGTGGCCATCACCGGGCCGGTATTACGGATTGATTCGAGCGCTCTCGTTGTTTCCCCTCGCTCTATCCCATCGCGCTGCTCTTCCAACAGAGCGTGGCTGATCCCATAGCGACCGCGCCGCCAACGCCGCGCGCAACAATCGCCGCCGGTTAATAATAACCGCGCGGTCGCGCGCTATCGCAACTCGCAATTCCCCGCATTACGTTTGTCGAATAACTGCTCCTTTGTTTACAGTGCGAATGCAATTTTCTCGATTTAAGCACGCAGCCGGCGCGCGAACCTGATATCACGCGCGAAAAGTATGATATTCCTTTCACGGCAAATACACGCTCGCAGAGATTGCGGAAGCTACTTTTAATCGATAGCAGCATGTTATCTAACTCCTCCCTTTCCGTAATTCTCTTCCTATTGCGTTTCGGTGTTTCCGAATTAAATTTGAAAGACAAACTTTGGATAGCGTGTACATTGCTTTCGCTAATATTATTTTCCGGTCCATAAAACAATATTTAACGGCGTATTTGAAATTGCGCGATAATATTGATATTGAATGATAATATTAATTTTTTTTCCCCCGTTCAAAAGTAATACATTCCGAATTAATAAACTGTTTGCACGAAACTATTCGTTCGTTGCCAGTTTGTACGACTGTGTTCTCTTGCGCGCATTTCGCACACGAAGCATCAAATGCACCGCATCTCCGGAGACATTCGCACGTTATTCTGCCCAAACAAACGTCAACCGCGCTGTTTACGTCGTACATGCAAATCGAAAGATCTCGCAGCAACCTGCTAATGGCACAACTGTTACGATGCACGAGATGCAATGCAAATGCAACCTCCTCTGCGTTTATGGTAATATGCAGTAGTAAACGCCACAAAGTCGCTCGCATCTTTAAGAAAAGCAATTTACAGACGTTTCTGTACAAACAATTTTTAGTTTTTCTCACCTCTTTCCAGTTGTTCGCCAAATTGTAATATAAATAGTTCTCTTAATTTAGGCAAATACAATGGAATTCGTAAAATTTATTTAAATATCCAGATGCGGAACTTCGTTAGAATCAGAATTTCAGATTGGTAAAGTTGTCTGCTAGTCTCTTTATTCACCGCACCGTACTGTACATTGTGTGATTTTCTAGCCACGCTTGGTAACGACGTACCTCGGAATGAATCATGATCAATTTCCAAAGAGCGCGCCGCCGATCAACGTATAATTTATGATATAATGGGAATGGCGCGAAAGAGCGATACGGCGCAAACACGAAAATCAAAATTTGTGACGTTTCTGACGTATTCCGCTTCGTGGCAACTCGAGTCCGAGCAAAATTGTGGTGCAATGACGCGCGCCGTAACTCTACAGTCTGATCGGTTATGAATTATGTCATCTAGCCGATCGATTATGCATGTTGCATCCCTGCGAGCGGCATACCGTTATTCATTATACATGCACTACGTCTCATAAATGCCTTATTCACTAAAATATTTTTCGTATATATTATGTCTAGATGCTGATATACATATTATTATTAAAAAAAAATAGCAATAACAATGATAATCAGCAATCAATAGCTAGCATTTCTAAAACGCGTTATATTTTATAAAATTAAAAGAATATTTGAGTCGGTCTTAAATGTTAACAAAAATTCCATTAGTGATAAATTGCGTTCATATCGATCAATTATGAATTAAAATAATTTTTTCCATTAAATTATATTTGATCTTTACTTATTATTTAAAATGTTTCTAATAGAAATGTATTACATAATGAACTCCTTCCTTGCGATGACAATTTAATTTGCTAAATTAATTCAAAAGTGAAACTTGCTCACGATTTTGAGTGTATAAAACTGTTTTCTGAATTTTGTTGTCGTTGAAATGTAAATTATATCCGTGATATATTAGGCCATCGAGGTGTAAATTACCAGCGCGCGCGACCATTTTCGAGTTAACAATAACATCCGTCTGACGGATATGCAAATTTTCATTGTTTATGGGTACATTCATGATCTCATTGTACCCGTTCAAATTATGATCCGATTTTATCCATCTTCATCGCGGAAAAAATTGCACTTTGAAATTCACATAGCCATGGAAATTTCATTTTACAAACATGATTATAAAGGCGGCGATAAGCAGAACGTAATCCGCCTGCATCCCGTTTGCCGGATATGTCAATTAAAAATGAACAACACATTTTTGCAAATCCTTTTCTCTCTGTAACTCGACCGCGGTAATTGCAAATTGATTTACCATCCCGCTCGGCTTCGCATAAACCGGGAAAACGAGTCCGCGCATTAACATTAACAAATTACTTTTAACTTATCCAACTCTCGCAAATGCAATATTGTCTTACATTGAGAGCGAAATTAATTATGCATGTCGCGCTGTATTGCGTTAGCAATTGCGACTCGCAGCACGAGTGCGGCAGCTATGGGATGCAAATGCGGCCGCGGGGTGATGTACGACGTTTTTTTCACCACGTCAAAACGTGTAAAAATGCGTCGCCGGTGGACGCGACAATGGAAGCGAACGAAATGCATAAGTGTAGGTAATTTTCTTGGCGACTCCCGAGGAAAGTAACACGGTGTATTAGTCGTAGTTGAAAAATTGCCCGTAGTGCATTCACCGAGCGCGGTAGTTCGTGGTTAGGGCGGACTGTAATTTTCCTCGTTACGCGGCGAATGAGCTACGCGTTCCGTATATCACCGAGCGCTAAGCGCAGCGAGCATTACGATTACGTTATATATTACGATTTTCGTGATATGTTACAGCGCACATCAATCACGTGCGGAAGATCGCCGGGGTGGACCACGTCGGCATCGGAGCTGGATACGACGGGATCAATTTGTGAGTGTTGCTACAAGTCTCTAATGGTATAAAAATAATTGTAAGACAAACATTTGAAAATACGTCGCCGGCGAATAAGAACAGAAACGCTTGAACCATGAGAAAAAGAGAATTCTTTTATATCTCTCAACTGATTAACATATTGATTACTGATTAACAAAAATAAATTCCTTTTCGCAATATAACTATTTTAATTTCAAGTTAGCGGTGCTTTGTTCGTGTTAGCAGGAATGATATAGTTTCCAAATGAAAGCAACGCGAAATCGTAAGCGCGTTTCCCGCCGCGTACCAGTTCTGCCGAACTGATTGCGAACTAGTACGTGCGAACGTACAAGAAGTTTTCGGCTACCTTTGAATATAGGTCGGGGTATAAATCAATACGTACAGAGCTACCGATCATTTGCGCGACTCGGAGATAGTCAAAGTCCCTTCTCGAAATTTATGCGCGAAGACAACAGATTACCAGTCCGATCTCAGAGATGATTACATCGGAACGCTCGGCTGATACGTTTCGCCCGCAGTGCGATAGCAGGATTAAAAACGGGACGAAAACAATGTGTAAGAGAAGTGTTTAGTCAAAGTGACTTCATAAATATCGTTTGAAGCTCACCATTTTCCAACGCTGGCAGGAAAACTATTGCACCGATGCATTTTTAAAGAACTACGTACGATCGTGCTCGCGAAATACCCGATGGTATTCAGCCGTTTGTTACCGAACGACCGACATTATTCCTTTCCATTATTCTCGCCTTTGTTACGCTTTTCACGCAGTTTGTTCAGCGGAGAAACGACCCGCGGAGTTCTTCTTTGCCGCGATAACTGGAGATGGAGGTATACAGAGTTTGTTAAGTGGACGCGGGAATCGTGTAAACACACGAGCATCGACCAACCCCTTTGTTAAAAATGCCGACCCCTTTGTAGCGCGCTGCTGGATTCGCGCGGCCCTTGCCATTAAGTTTCACGAAAAAAATTGACAGAACATAAAAAAGGGGAAGGAGAGAGAAAGAGATAAAGAGAGACAGATGAAGAGAAACTGCTCTAATCGCAAGTACACTGAGGGCGGTAGAGAACTAAAAAGTTGTTGAGTTTCCGGGATTCGCATGAAAAACACATGTGGTTGTGGCTGACGTATATGGCGGAGGATTAAAAAACAGGGTAGATGCATCGAAGCGTGATTTGCAGACCAAACGATAAAGAAGAAAAACGACGTAAAAGGCACATGCCGCTCGAACTGTTCGTCGCAATGTACAGTTTTCCTGTATTTTTGTCCAGCGACAATATCGAATACAAATGCAAGAGTCGGTAAAGTAAATATGTAACCTCTGTGAAGTTGGCCCCCCATTTTTCAAAATAAAAAAAATGATTAGAGTTCTGGATGCCCCCCGAGGAGTTCTAGAGTTCTCAGACCATTTTAGAAAGAGTTCTGCCATTTAAAGTAAAGAAAACACCATTTGAAAAATGGGGGGGCTAACTTCACGGCGCCCCCCATTATGTAAAAAATCCAAATTTTTTTATAGTTCTGAGTAGATTTCAAATAGTTCTATAGTTCTAGATAAGATTCAAAAATAGTTCTGCTCGAAATACTACGTAAATTAAATTTGAAATTCTCGACTTAGAAAACGAAAAATAGCGAGAACTCGTTCAATTTTGGTTTTAGCGTTTCGAGCCTTAAGGATAATCGTTAGAACTCGTGAGGGGCTATACAGAACTCTCAACAGAACTGCCGGTTACCGAGAAAAAAATTTTTTCCTGTAGGACTTAAAAATTTTTCGAATCCGAACCTTCAACCATCGAGAACTTTTTTATTTCGCCTCTGAGCGCTTCGAGTGTTAATAATTATCGTTAGAACTCTTCGGGGGGCGTCCAGAACTCTCATCAGAACTGCCGGTTACCGAGAAAAAATTTTATTAGAAATTTTTCGAATCCGAAACTTCAACCATCGAGAACTTTTTTATTTCACCTCTGAGCGTTACGAGTGTTCATAATTATCGTTAGAACTCTTTGGGGGCGTCCAGAACTCTCATCAGAACTGCCGGTTACCAAGAAAAAATTTTTTTTCTGTAAGACAGAAATTTTTCGAATCCGAAACTTCAACCATTGAGAACTTTTTTATTTCACCTCTGAGCGTTACGAGTGTTCATAATTATCGTTAGAACTCTTTGGGGGGCGTCCAGAACTCTCATCAGAACTGCCGGTTACCAAGAAAAATTTAGTTTTCTGTAAGACAGAAATTTTTCGAATCCGAAACTTCAACCATTGAGAACTTTTTATTTAATAACTTCGTATAGCA